AGAGGAAAGTCGGAAAGAACTCAGATACATGGAGGCTAAAGAGCATCCTCCTAAAGAATTAATGGGTCAACCAGGAAATTAAAGAATTTTAAAAATTTATGGAAACAAATGAATGAAAACACAACTGTTCAATAACTTTGGGCTGCCACAAAGGCAGTCCTAAGAGGAAAGTATATAGCAATACAAGCCTTTCTCAAGAAACAAGAAAGGTCTCAAGTACACACCCTAACCCTACACCTAAAGGAGCTGGAGAAAGAATAGCAAGTAAAGCCTAAACCCAGCAGGAGAAGAGAAATAATAAAGATCAGAGCAGAAATCTATGAAATACAAACCAAAAGAATAGTAGAACAGATCAACGAAACTAGGAGCTGGTTCTTTGAGAGAATTAACAAGATTGATAAGCCCCTGGCCAGACTTACCAAAAAGAAAAGAGAAATGGCCCAAATAAATAAAATCATGAATGCAAAAGGAGAGATTACAACCGACACCAAAGAAATACAAACAATTATAAGAACATATTATGACTTTAACTCTATGCCAGCAAATTAGATAACCTGGAAGAAATGGATGCATTCCTAGAGATGTATCAACTACCAAAACTGAACCAGGAAGACATAGAAAACCTGAACAGACCTGTAACCATTGAGGAAATTGAAGCAGTAATCAAAAACCTCCGAACAAACAAGAGCCCAGGGCCAGGTGGCTTCCTAGGGGAATTCTACCAAACATTTAAAGAAGAATTAATACCTATTCTTCTGAAACTGTTCCAAAAAATAGAAATGGAAGGAAAACTTCTAAACTCATTTTATGAGGCCACCATTACTTTGATCCCCAAACCAGCCAAACACTCCATCAAAAAGGAGAATTACAGACCAATATCCCCGATGAACATGGATGCAAAAATTCTCACCAAAATACTAGCCAATAGGCTCCAACAGTACATTAAAAGGATTATTCACCACGACAAAGTGGGATTTATTCCTGGGCTGCAAGGTTGGTTCAACATCCACAAATCAATCAATGTGATACAATACATTAATTAATGAAAGAAAGAACAGGAGCACCTGGGTGGTTCAGTCGGTTAAGCATCTGCCTTCGGCTCAGATCATGATTTCAGGGTCATGGGATTGAGTCCCACGTCGGGCTCTCTGCTCTGCGGAGAGTCTGTTTCTCCCTCTCCCTCTGCTGCTCCCCCTGCTCTTCTCTCTCTCTGTCAATAAATAAATAAAATCGTAATAAATAAATAAATAAATAAATAAAAGAACAAGAACTGTATGATCCTCTCAACAGATGCAGAGAAAGCATTTGACAAAGTACAGCATCCTTTCTCGATCAATACTCTTCAGAGTATAGGGATAGAGAGTACATACCTCAATATCATAAGAGCCATCTATGAGAAACCCACAGTAAATATAATTCTCAATGGGGAATAACTGAGAGCTTTCCCCCTAAAGTCAGGAACACAGCAGGGATGTCCACTATCACCACTGCTATTCAACACAGTACTAGAAGTCCTAGCCACAGCAATCAGACAACAAAAAGAAATAAAAGGCATCTGAATCGGCAAAGAAGCAGTCAAACTCTCACTCTTTGCAGATGATATGATACTTTATGTGGAAAACACAAAAGACTCCATCCCAAAACTGCTAGAACTCATACAGGAATTCAGTAAAGTGGCAGGATATAAAATCAATGCACAGAAATCAGTGGCATTCCTATACACCAACAAGACAGAAGAAAGAGAAATTAAGAAGTCGATCCCATTTACAATTGCACCCAAAACCATAAGATACCTAGGAATAAATCTAACCAAAGTGGCAAAGAATCTGTACTCAGAAAACTATAAAATACTCCTGAAAGAAATTGAGGAAGACAAAACAATGGAAAAACATTCCATGCTCATGGATTGGAAGAACAAGTATTGTGAAGATGTCACTGCTGCCTAGAGCAATCTACACATTTAATGCAATCCCTTTCAAAATACCATCCACTTTTTTCAAAGACATGGAACAAAGCATCCTAAAATTTGTATGGAACCAGAAAAGACCCGAATAGCCAGAGGAATGTTGAAAAAGCAAAGCAAAGATGGTGGCATCACAATTCCGGACTTCAAGCTCTATTACAAAGCTGTCATCATCAAGACAGTATGGTACTGGCACAAAAACAGACACATCGATCAATGGAACAGAATAGAGAGCCCAGAAATGGACCCTCAACTCTATGGTCAGCTCATCTTCGACAAAGCAGGAAAGAATGTCCAATGGAAAAAAGACAGTCTCTTCAACAAATGGTGTTGGGAAAATTGGACAGCCACATGCAGAAGAATGAAACTGGGCCATTTCCTTACACCACACACAAAAATAGACTCCAAATGGTTGAAAGACCTCAATGTGAGACAGGAGTCCATCAAAATCCTAAAGGAGAACACAAGCAGCAACTCCTTCGACCTCAGCCACAGCAACTTCTTCCTAGAAACATCGCCAAAGGCAAGGGAAGCAACGCAAAAATGAACTATTGGGACCTCATCAAAATAAAAAGCTTTTGCACAGCAAAAGAAACAGTCAACAAAACCAAAAGACAACCGACAGACTGGGAGAAGATATTTGCAAATGACATATCAGATAAAGGGCTAGTCTCCAAAATCTATAAAGAACTTATCAAACTCAACAACCAAAGAACAAATGATCCAATCAAGAAATGGGCAGAAGATATGAACAAACATTTTTCCAAGGAAGACATCCAAATGGCCAAGAGACACATGAAAAAGTGCTTAACGTCGCTCAGCATCAGGGAAATCCAAATCAAAACCTCAATGAGATACCACCTCACACCAGTCAGAATGGCTAAAATTAACAAGTCAGGAAACGACAGATGTTGGTGGGGATGCGGAGAAAGGAGAACCCTCCTACACTGTTGGTGGGAATGCAAGCTGGTGCAGCTACTCTGGAAAACAGTATGGAGGTTCCTCAAAAAGTTGAAAATAGAGCTGCCCTATGACCCAGCAATTGCACTACTGGGTATTTACCCCAAAGATACAAATGTAGGGATCTGAAGGGGTATGTGCACCCCGATGTTTATAGCAGCAATGTCCACAATAGCCAAACTATGGAAAGAGCCAAGATGCCCATCGACAGATGAATGGATAAAGAAGATGTGGTATGTGTATACACACACACACACACAATGGAATATTATGCAACCATCAAAAGGAATAAAATCTTGCCATTTGCAACGACGTGGTTGGAACTGGAGGGTATTATGCTGAGCGAAATAAGTCAATCAGAGAAAGACATGTATCATATGATCTCACTGATATGAGGAATTCTTAATCTCAGGAAACAAACTGAGGGTTGCTGGAGTGGTGGGTGGTGGCAGGGATGGGGTGGCTGGGTGATAGACGTTGGGGAGGGTATGTGCTATGGTGAGCGCTGTGAATTGTGTAAGACTTTTGAATCACAGACCTGTACCTCTGAAACAAATAATACATTATATGTTAAAAAAAGAAGATAGTAGGAAGGGTAAAATGAATGATGGGAAATCAGAGGGGGAGATGAACCGTGAGAGACTGTGGACTCTTAGAAACAGACTGAGGGTTCTAGAGGGGAGGGGGTGGGAGGAGGGTTAGCCTGGAGATGGGTGTTAAAGAGGGCACGTATTGAATGGAGCACTGGGTGTTATATGCAAACAATGAATCATGGAACACTACATCAAAAACTAATGATGTAATGTTTGGTGATTAATATAACATAATAAAATTTAAAAAAAAAAAAAGTCTCAGGGAGTTTCCAGGCTGGTGGCTAAGACACTTGAATGAACTGAGCACCATCCATGGCATAGTCAGCTCCTGTGCAGTATACCAGCGGCGAGTCTCCCTTGTGGGGTCTAAGAGCAGGTGTATCCTACCCCTACAGCAGTAGTCATGCAGCTTAACTAATGAGCCAGAGCTGGACCCATAGAAAGAGATAATAAATAGGTTCTGTTGAACCACAGACTAATCACTGAATATTGGTAATGGTTGGAAATGGCCAAGATGGCCAAATAGTATAAGAGAGACAGGAATTAGGAGCTTCGGTTGGAAAGCCATCATGGGATGTTTGAGGGTGTGAGTTCCTGACACCACATTCTCTGGCCCTAAAGTATCTCAGAATGGTGCTCTCTTCATCAGCTCTGCCTTTAGGTCTACTTCCTTCTCCTCTCATCTTCTTTCCCAGTTGCTACCAAGAAGTAAAAGAGTAGCTGTGGCAAAGACAAGAAGTCAGTTTGACTAACTGCTTCTTACTTCCATCCTTCCCCTTACCTTTTATATGCTTGGCTACACAAGGATAAAGGGAATGTGAACTCAAGTGGAGATAAAAGTCCCAGATTTTTTTTTTCACCTGTCAACCAATACCAAAGGACATTTTCATTATAACTTGAATAGAAAAAATATATATCTGACTAATAACATGAGATTAAAGATCCTGGGCATAATAATGCCAAATCCTTAAATAAATGGACATCTAAGCTCCATTAAAAATGAAGAGAAAACTCTGGCAGAATTTATTACAGGATTTTAGCCTTGAAGGCATGAAGTCATAGCTTCCCTACCTTCACAGTTTCAACCAAAAATCACCTTCTTTCAGTTAGCAATTGGGAAGAAAAACGATATCTTTGTATCTCTTACGAGAGTATTGAAAAATGGTAATATAATTAAGAAATTGAGAGAAATGTTAATTTTCTCTGTATTAAATTGAAGTAGGATAGGGTGAACATCACCATTTTAATGGATTGTATGATAAATTATGGGTTCACTCTCTGGCCCCCATCTGTGTTTGTAGTTTATTAACTAAAGGAAAACAAAAAGTAAAACAAGGTATTTAATCCATCCTCTCATTCCTGTGAACATCCTTTTCCCTTATTGACCCTTGCCATACATTTCTTAAAAACATCCTCCGTCGTTAAGATCCTGTGTTTACTGCACCAAATTGTAGTTCTTTATATCACTTTTCTCTTTCTTCCAGAGCTTCTTTGAAGGGCAGTCCGCACCATGGGACTCTGCTAAGAAAGATGAAAACAGAATGAAGAACAGATATGGGAATATCATTGCATGTAAGTGTTAACAGTGTAATTGTGCTGTGGTATAACTTTCTTTTCACATCTGCTAAGATTGACCACCAGCCTCACACAGTGAGAATTTACAGTGCAATTACTGCCTTCATCCTTCTGGAAAAGCTGGTATGCTTGTATTAAAGAAAGGAAAAACTACCTAAATACCCCCACTACGTCAATGTGTCTTGCTGTGGGGCTAGTTTTACTTTCAGATTTAAGGTTTGGGTAACATAGGTAATGCTAAAATGCTGAGAAAGAAAATGCATTTTAGGAGTAAACATAATAGTCCTAATGTTTCCCAGCTGCTACATGAGAATGAATAGAAATAATGATGTGCAACACACCTTAATGCAAGGAGCTCAGAGTTCTCAGCAAGCATTAACTCATTAATCCTCCAAGCACTTGGGTTAGGTAGGTCAGTAATAGCCCCATTTTAAGGACAGGAAACTGAAACTCAGAACTTAAATGATAGTCCCCATATCAAAACACTCATTAGCAAAAGAATGAGGATTATATCTCAGAAATTCCCAGTTCCTGTGACGCTGAATGTTACCAATCCATAATGCCTTAGACTGTTTTTAAATCGAATCCAACCTCATTAATGTTCCGTAACGATGCTGAGACGTGTGGTAGATTGATGAACCTCCTTCTCCTGGGGCTAGAGCCATCCATCCCCTGCATTAAACTGCTCCAAGCCACACAGGACTGCCCCAAGGTACTGACAGGTACTAACAAAGTTAATACTATTTCTGAAGATACATAAATTCAGACAAACAAACAAACAGTGTGGGAATAGAACCAGAGAGCTTGTAGCTCCTCATGTCTTACTGCTATTGAGAGAACACACTGGAAATGTTTGGGTAGTCCAGGGAACAGTGTATTAGCTTTATTGATTGTGAAAGTGCTGTGAAATTTTATTTGTCTGAGTTAACATTTTTTGGAAAGACAGGAGAGCCTGCCCAACGGAAGTTTCTGTGACTATAGAAGTGTTCCATGCCTGCATTATCTGAAACAGTAGCCACACGCCCCATGAGCACTTGAAAAGTGGCTGGTGCCACCGAGGAACTGAGATTTAAATTGTATTTGACTTTAATTACTTTGAATTTAAATAATACATGAGACTAGTGGCTCCCACTATTGGACAGTGCAATGGACAGTGTGTTTTACTGTGAAAAAGGAGGGGGTGGGGTTTACACATGATAGGAAAGAACCATCCTGACTGCGCATGAGCACACCCTGTTCTCCCTCTGGCCGCTCCTAAGTCCCAGCCACTGGTGTTGCAGGTGACAAGTGCTAGCTTCGAGTGTTTTGTCTGTTCATTGACTTAGTGCTTCGAGTGGTCACCTCAGAGTCCTTGTTAGTCAGAAGCTGCTTCCCTAAGATCTAAGGCTTCATTGCCCCTCAGTGGATTCAGTCAACACTATGGAGCACCAGACACCGGGCCCACAGTGAGGATTCCAAGGTGACAGGGACAAATGTGCCCGCCCACAGGACAGGGCAGAGTGGGTGGGTAACAGAGCACTGTGACGTCAGTCCCATGAGGTGACACGGCACCAGGCTGGAGCTGTGTGTGCAGTGCCACCAGCCTCAGGGAAGGAGAACCTGGCTTTTCGCCGGAGGGTGGTCATGGGAGGTATTGGTTGACCAATATAGATCCCTCCAAGTTCCCTCATAGTCTCTGGGAGCAGCTAAAGCTTTGCATTGTTAGGATCCAGATTTTTCATCATGGCTTACAGGGTTCTCTCCAGGAGTTCACTCAGTGCTGCAGCAATCTCCAAGGGGGTTCACAAAGTAAAATGGGGTGTTCACAGCATGTCCTGGGCCTCCCTCCATACCAGGTGGACAGGGAGGTTGGGAACCTTTGTCCTGCAGTCCCCCTAACATCCCAGATGTGGGCTTCCTGCTGCATGCACAGAAGGCAGTGTTGATGAGTGCGATTGTCAGCATGCTCAGAGATCCAGCCGGCCTTTGCTCAATAGAACTTTCAGCCTGCTTCTTCTTGATGCCTGAGTTCAATACCTGCACTTGGTGGGCACTTGAGGAATATTTCTGAATGATGAATGAAAAAAATAATAAAAGCTAGCATTTGTTAAGCACTTCCTTTATGCTAGATGCCACTCTAAGCACTTTCCACATGTTACCTCACTCTCTTCCTGTAAGGATACCATGAAACAGGTAATATGATTGTTTCTGTCTTATAGGTGAGGCAGTTGAGGCATAGAGAAAGGTTACAGGGTTAATAAGATGTGGAAGCAGGATTCCAACCCAGGAGCAGCTTTTATAACAGTGCATGCATGGTTAGACGGTTGGTCCCCGCCGGGTTGCTTCCATGCCTGAACTTTTCTCCCTTAGCGTCATGGTCTGCAGGGGCCGGGGTAGGTGACAAGAGGCAGCTGAAAGACACTTTGGGCCCTCACCCCTTCCTCTGACCCCTACAGACCCCAGAGAGAAATTCCGGAGCTGCCACTGCCCAGGGTCTCTTGCAGAAGCTCTTTGTTGATGACTTTTGTCGTCTGTTGTCTAAGAAGGATAGTGGGGGCAGGGCCTCATGTACGGATTAGTTGTTAACCTATTATCATTAATTGTCACCTAGCTCAGAATGGGTGCAGAGGGGAACAGGATGTCAGAGGACATTTAATAATGATCTGGGGGTGAGAAAGGCAGACGACAGGACCGCCTGCATCCTGCCTGGTCTGACCTAGGGCACTACTGGCTGGAGGGCACTGGCCAGCGCATTGGAACATAGGGTGGGAAGGGAAACAGAACAAGAGATCAGTGTGGTCTAACCTACCTCCCAACATTATTGAAATAAAAATTTATACTGTCTTTTTTTTTGTGAGGACATTGAAAAGCCACAAATTCTATGCAAATATAAAATATTTTAATTCTATTAAGTGCTATTCTCGTCTTCAAATTGAGGCATGGAGAGACAAAATGACCTGCCTGTGATCACATGAGGAGGTAGTCGTCCTTTTGTGATGTAAAACATATTTTTTCTAATTTAATTATTTGGGAAAGTTTGTTTTTATAGACCTAGGTAGAGGTATGGCCCCTCCACGAACATGAGAATGGCCTACATTGATTGCTTCCTTTCTATGAAAAGTCTGCAGGCTCTCCATGGCATTCCAAGTGGATTCTCTCCTCTAAAGTTCTGTTCAGCCTCCAGAAGCCCCACCCACCTTGTCTCTACCTTGACCTTCTAGATATTGGGTGTGCCTCTGTTTTCCATAGAAACATTGAATGTCATTCCTCTACCTGATTTCTCCTTATGGCTGCACTGAGAGTATGTGCTCAAATAGACCAAATAATTTATCCCTTCATTCAACAAATACTTTGTGATCACATACTATTTGCCAGACACCATGCTAGGCACTGTTACAGAAGGATGATTAAACATAATCGGGCACTGCCCTCCCAGCCATTACCATCTAGGGCAGGGCTTGGCAGACTCTTTCTGAAAAGGGCAGATAATAAATACTTTAGGCTTTGCACGCTGGCCAGTTTCAGTTCAAAACATCGACTTGCAGGTGCTGACTCCTGGTTTAGTGAAGAACAGATCCCACTGGGACAACTTTTCATTTCTACCACCCAGGGCTCACTTCTGCCACCACCATCATCATCTTCAGCCCTCAAAACCCTGCACTTAAGATGGATGATTTTAATACCCCCTGTGTATTCACTGAATGTTCCATGACTTTAGAGTCTAGGGGCCAGAGCAGACCAAGACATGCATGAACTGATAGGAGAAGGGTACACGAGTGAGGGGTGGACTAATGAGAAAAGACCTTGGGCAAAAGAGATGAACACAGGATTTGGAGCTATAAGACCCAATTGGGGTCTTGGCCCCACCATATACTAACCAAGTGACCTTGGATAAGTCATGAACGTTCTCAATGTCAGTTTCCTGAGTTTCACCTGTTCCAGAAACAAACTTAAATGCCACATAAAAAGAACATAGATTGTTGTTAGGTGAAAAAAAATCCCATCTTTTCTTATTACTCCTGTGTTGCTCTTTACTCTTCAGTTTAGTGGATTCCATAGGTCATTTAAAAACTTTTTTTTTAATTTATTTATTTGTCAGAGAGAGCACAAGCAGGGGGAACGGCAGGCAAAACCCCCCAAAGTTTTTAGGGACACCTGGGTGGCTCAGTCGGTTAAGCATCTGCCTTCAGCTTGGGTCATGATCCCAGAGTCCTGGGATCAAGCCCCGCATCGGGCTTCTTGCTCCGCGGGGAATCTGCTTCACCCTCTGCCTCTCTCTCTCTCTCTCTATGTCTCTCATGAACAAATAAATAAATAAATAAAAATCTTTTTTAAAAAATAAGAAAAATAAATAAAAATCAGCATTTGGAAGCCTCAAGTTCCAAGTGATGAGCTGGTAGGCAGTTGCAGGCACCACCTTGCTCCCTAATTGTTAGCACGACCCTGCACAGTGACCCAGCCCCTGATGGGCTGTGACTCTGGGCTCTGTTTCTGGGTGGTTTGCTGTCACCTGGCTGATTTTCTACCTTTCACCTGCCCTCCATCCTGTTCCCTCCCCGTCTTTCAGTGTTTCTTCATCAGGTTGCATTGTTTGCTCTTGTGCTTTTCTAAAAAGACAACATCAAAAAGAGATTTCTGTGCCCCAGCTACACTATCATCCAGGCTCCTATTTTTCCATCTCAGTTGCTGTGACATCTGGAAGCCATTCTCTGTGCACACATGTTATCTTTTGCTTTTTTCCATGTATTTTTTTTATGTATCAGAATTATTCTATTTTTTATTGAGGTATAGCTGACACAGTTACGTTAGTTTCAGGTGTATCACATAGCGATTGGACAAGTTTGTTCGTTCTGTGCTCACATGATTTCATGTGCAGATACATATGAAATGATTACTGTAATCAAGCTAGTTAACAGATGGTCTCACATAGTTGCCATTTGTGAGTGTGCAGTGAGAGACCCTGAAATCTACTCTCTTGGCATGTTTCTAGTGTTTAATATAGGATCACTAACTATAGT